ACACATAATCTTGTATCTTTAACACCATTTTTTAAACATCGTGCATTAGCTGGTGTATGGTTAGCATTATCTTATAAAGCGTTAAGTTCGGCAAATGAGGATATAGAAAATGATTTTGATTGGCAATGGGATTTAACAGTTGATTCATATTTAGATGATAATTGGAAATTATATGAATGGAAAACATTTTTTCAACATCGTCTATCACCGTATATTGTTAGTGCTGGTGATTGTGCTGCTTTAATACCAGATACGAAAATACGTGAACCTATTGAACGTACTACATGTTATAATCAACGAACAGTTGTATGTCGAAAACCATTAGAAAACGAAGGAAAATCATTTCATAAAAAGGTTAATTATAAGAAATTTTTACGTTTACAAAATTTTACTGAACTGCCGGAAAATTCTCGAAAATCAAATAATATAACATCACCATCGTCATTAGTCATCACTCGTAGTATGTTTGAATTATTTAATACAACAACATATCGATTGATTATATATTTCAATGGTTCATCATCATTAACAACAAATCTTGTTTTTACATGTAAATCAAAAGGCATTATTTTTCAACAATTTATTTTATCAACTGAATTATTATCAATAATGAAATATGATATTTCAATTAATTCAATAGGAAATGAATATCAGTTATTATTTAATTATCTTCGTTCATCAAATTGTACGAATACAACAACACATCAATGTATTTATTTATCATGTATAGAAAATGATCCATGGTATTATTTAATACCTGAAATGCAAACTCGATTTAATATTATTCATAATCAAACAACAACAAATAATAAATGTTTAATAAAATATAATTATACAAATTTTAATGCACAAATATGTTCACTTTTAATTGATCAATTTCGTATAACAGAAGATACATATTTATCAACTTCATTACCATCATTTAAAACAAATACATGTTTAGATTTTGGTGGTCAATGCATTCCTGATTCATTAATAGTACCATCATCAATGCAATTTATAGCTAATGATCTAACATGTTCAACAGGATTTATTTGTTGGTTACAAGGTGAAATTTGGTTTTTTTTCCAGAAAGAAACTTATATAATCTACTTCATCTGTTTGAGATATTCTTTAATAGTTACAATAGATATAATTAGTGGCGTAACAACCGGGAGAGCTACGGGGAGCGGAGCTCCCCCTAGGACATTTTGAGATCCTCTCAGACTGTTAGACGTTCTTGATTAAAAAAATATGGAGCTCAATCCCCACTACGGCAAAATCTCGGCCAGTATAGAGCTCATCTCTCCCTAGGGCAAAATCCTGGTTACGCTACTAGATATAATATGCTCGATATTAAGGTAGAAATGGAAAGGTGTTGTAAAATATACTTATAATTTCTGATCCAGGGTTTCGAACACATAAGAAACGTTGCAACTTTAGTTTAGTATAGATATTTCATAAAGGAGGAGTACTATGAAAACATTGAATTTTACTTGGAATTCTTCTTAAGGATGATAAATTGATAGTTTTCAATCGAGGGGTAAACAATAGAGACTTCATGCATGAAGTCTTCTAGAATTTCTATCGATGCATGTATCTCACGGGGGAACAAGCGAGAAACAACAGAGCCTTCATGCATGAAGTCTTTTGAAATCTTTGCAATCTTTTGAAGTCCATTGAAGTCTCTTGCAGTCTTTCGAAGTCTTGAAGTCCGCTGTTTCTCCCTAGTTTTCAATTCTAATTTTCATCTGTATTTAAACTCAATCAAGAAATATCAAAACGTACTGGTTTCCTATTTATTTGATTTAAACTCAATCAAAAAAATTTTGCTATTAAACAACCGCTGATTCTATTACATAACCTTTTATCTATTATATTAGTATTGAAGACCATGTTTTCGCAAGTAATGTATATGTTAGAAAATTATTCTTATCATACACTTCTAATATTATCGAAATATAAAAGATTTCTTGTAATAGATAGAATTCAAGAAAGAGTTGTAGTGACCGAGTGCTTTGTACATATCTAGTTATTAGATGAGGTGACTAACGATTCTCAGATAAGAATTATCTATTTTTACATGACCATTTCATGTCTATTAACTAAGGCAATACTGATATTTAAGTATATATCAAAAGTTTTTCTTTTTTAGGTGAGCGTTGTGGTACCAATTCTTACTGTGTTGATCGTCTTCGATTTCCATGTCCTACAACATCGCATTTAACTAATATAACATGTTTAAATACACATCATGATTGTTGTACATCATCATTACCATCGATTGATTCACCATTAATTGTTTCTACAATATCAAATCAACAATCTTGGAATATTCTTTTACCTATTTATTATTTTTCATTTCATGGTACATCTAAATGGGATAAATTCTTTTTTAATTCATGGTTACGTATGGGTAGTGATATATCGCATGATTTTATTAATGATGAATTTTTATTTTCATGTACAGCTATATTTATTGATCCAACATTACTTTTAACACATGAATCATGTTTACCAACACGTTTAACTAGTAGTGATAAACGTTCAATATTATTTTCATTAATTAAAAATGATGATAATGATGAATATGATAAAGTTGCTTTACATGTTGATACATATCAAATATATTCACCATTTCAATTAGTACGTTTAGCATTTCAACATGATTTTCTTGTTAATAAAACTTATAAGATATTAAATGATATGAAATTAAATAAACAAAATATAAATGAACTTTATTGTGTACTTGTTTTAAATGAAAATGATATAAAACCCATCAAATTAATTAATGATTTTGAAAAACAATTTATTTTCGATGAAAATATATCCGTATTTTCATTTCATAATTCAACAAATATTGATGAAGATGATGAATGGTTATTTTCACCAATTCTTTGTGTTATGAATGATAAATTAAATGATTGGATTATTGTTGGTATTAGTGGACGACAACTTAAACATAAATGTAAAATATTTAACCAAATAAAATATTGTCAAATGACATTTATTTATTCATCAACATGGATTGATTGATAATAGACAAACAACAAAATTTTTCTTTTTCTAGAATTATATTGTACTCATAATTTTTTATAGTCTTCTATCCGTTATTAATATAGATAAACCTATGCTGTATGAATATGTAAGTATTCTTGATTTAGATAACCTCCATTTCCATTTCGATACTTAATTTTGTTTCAAATAACAAAAATGAATTGATAATACTATCAAGTAGTTTTATATTGCTCAACTAGTTTAAAGTTCTCATGATTAACAAGTTAATCGTTCAAAACAATTATTATTTTCTTTCAATTATAATTTGAACATAAAATAATATTACATCAACAATTAAAAAGTAAAATAAAACACTTGTTTTCAATGACGATGAAATATCTTCTCTCGATAATATCGTCGTAATTCATGATTGTATAAAAACAGATTACTTATAACAGCCAATGAAGATAATTCAGATAATATAATAAACATTGAAACTATTATTGAACTAAAAGAGAATTGAACAGCAATAATTGCGTATAAATAAATCGGACTCCATCCTGCAACAAATATACAAAACATAACAATCATATGTCGAAGTAAATGTAAATCACGACGACTAAGATGTTGACGTTGGTGTGCATTATTCTTTGCACCTTCTAATGATGTTTGAATACGATTTGTTGAAGAACGAGCATACTTAAAAATCATCATATTATTCATCAAGCATATCATTGATGGAATAATTATAACAATCACAAATTTATAAATTCCTTTCCAAAGTTGTTCACCACAATTCTATGTCAAAAATCATCTCTTTATTTTAACCATAAATTAATCAATTCAAATAACTTACTGATTCATTAAATAAAATAATTGGTATTGTAAGAATAATACCATTTGACCATTGTCTTACAATACATATTGTTGCCCATTTTTTTGTTCTTAAAAAGGGTTTTGTATGATATACTATTGAACACACACGATTGAATGATGCTTCAACTATAGTAAATGATAGTTGTACCTCAAGCATCATTTCAAAATAGTTAAAAACAA